CACAACGGCGGCGCCTCAGTCCCGAGCCACAGGTGCCGAGGGCCCTGATATGGCGGGGACGGGACGGTTCCCCGCAGGTGCCGAGGGCCCTGACACGGGGGGCCGCACCCAGAAGGCCCGAGTGCCGGATGACTGGCAGCACACCGCAACGCCAAGGGACACTCCCAGGAAGCAGCCGATCCCAGGACCCGGTGGTTTTCCACAAGAGCTCGGTGGGGCTGAATGAAGGGGGCCAACGCCTTTCAGCTACCCCCCTGACAAGTCCAACGGAGCCGTCACCGGGATTGGACATCTTCCCGTGGATGGAGAACATCCCTGAGCGTCTGGTACAGCGGCTGAGATGGACACAGGGCACATCGCCCAAAGTTCCATCCAGTGGGCCCATCATTGTCCTGCTCTATGCAGGCAAGGAAGACCCAACTTCCTTGGACAGCTGTCTTCATGCCAACTACCCACACCTTTCCAGCATGGTGGTGGCGGTAGACATCCTACGGTCTGGACCAAAAGGGGACCACGATATGCTCCAACCCGAGCTGTATGGAGCTCTTTGCACGGCAGCAAAGCAGGGCCGAGTGGTCTTCATTGGAGGAGGACCCAACTGCAGGACATGGTCCATCCTGCGCCACATACCAAAACCGGGGGCTCCCACCCCGGTGCGAGGGCGCACTCCAGAGACACTTTGGGGCCTTCCACACCTGGACCAGGCCGCCCAGACTCAACTTGATGATGACAGCATCCTCATTCTGAGACAGATGTACATCACCAGCCTGGCAAGGGCCTCACGAGCGGCGGTTTCTCTGCCAGGGCCCAGGTCCTTCCTGGAACACCCGGAGGACCCAGTGGTGAGCAGCTCGCTGCCCAAAGCCAAGGAATGCTCATCCTTCTGGATCACAGAGGAGGGGCAGCTTTGGATGGAGGAGAACTCCTTGACAGCAATCTCCTTCGACCAGTGCCGCCTGGGCCAGCTGGTCAAGAAGGCCACTACGCTGGCCACGGATCTCCCGATCCAGGACTGGGATCAAATGCGGTGCACGCATCAGTCACATGTGGGCACCAACGAGTCCTCGACTCTTAGCAGATACCCTTGGGATATGATGGCAGGCCTGGCCAAAGCCATCGCTGTGTCACTCGCAGCGCCGGGGCACATCCGGATCCCCTCACAATTTCCGGGAAACCCCAAGGAACCACCTAAGGGGCGGGGGTCGGACCCCCCGGAAGGCCATTCCCCCCGGGGAAAACGGGGGCCCAGTCAAGGAGGCGGTCCCTCCTCATCACACCAGGGCTCAAAGCCCGGAGGCAAGAACGCCCCGAAGCCCCGCCTGCACGGGCAGTTCCACCCTGAGGCAGACACCGTAAGCCCTCGTGGAACAATGAACCCAGACTTCCCATCTCCCATGCCCCCGATGGCCGGAGATGCGGAACAACTGGGGAAGGAGGGACAGGGGGACCAGGTCCTGGACCGCCCCGAATGCCTGCCCGCTTTCAGGGTCCCACACCTCACTGACCGGGTGGCGATTGTCCAATTGGGTTTCCGCTCACGCCCCCTGAGGGATGGGGGGGGAAAACCTTCCCCAGGAGGCTCAACCCCCCTTTTCGGAGAATTTCCCCATTGGCTACTTTGGGCGCCCTGATCATGACCCTTACCCGGCCCTGGATTGACAAGGTCCGAATGTCCCTGGCATCAGGTGCCACCACACACCCCTTCCAGGAAGCCGACCTCGAGGAGCTGCGGGCTATCCTACCTCCATGAACGATGCCCAGGACAACCCTTCCTCCTGGACTTAGTGTCGCACTTGGCATCCCTTTCAGGTGACCCTGATTGGGAGTTCCCCCTAACACTGAAAGAGGGGGTCCCCTTGGGAGTCTCGGACCCTACCTTGACCTCCCCGGGAGTTTGGCCCACTAAGGAGGAGCTTAAGGGAGAAGCCTGGCTGGGGGAAGATCCCCCCCCGCCAGTGGCTCATGATAACTACCCAACGGCTGAACTCTTTGCCAAGGAAATCGAATCAACCTTTTACGAGGAACGAGCCTTGGACATGGTGGACGGGCCCTTCACTCGCTCCGAGGCGGCAGAGAGGTGCCGCTGCAAACCGGAGGAACTTTGCCCGGGCCCCCTTGCAGGGATTGATGAGTCGGACAAGATCAGGACGATCTATGATGGCTCAAAAGGGGGAGCAAACGCACACATCCAGGCTCACACGGAGGAGAAGACCACCGCACCGATGGTTGGAGACTGCCTCCATGCCATCCACTGGCTCAGGACAGCGGCGGACCATCCTCATCTACTCCGAGCCCCATCCTCGGGCACTGATGAGGAACCTCGGGATGTTCACCAGCCGGTGCAGGGGCAGTCCCCAGGTGCCGAGGGCCCTGAGAGGGACCAGCCTGCCCCCAGGTGCCGGGCCCTGATAGGGGCAGGCGGATGATGGAGACCTCCGGCCCATTCCCCCCAACCCCCCCAGGCACGGAACGCCCTGGGGGGAGCAGGGGGGAACCCCTGACGTGGCAGCCGCCGACACAGGGGGAAACCTTCATCATCCTCAAGGCGGATGTCACCAAGGCCCACAGGCGCATAAAAGTGCTCCAGAAAGACTGGAAATACCAGGTGGCCTGCATCCAGAACCGGTGGTGGGTCAATAGAGTGGGCACGTACGGCATGGCCTCGGCACAACTGTACTGGGGAAGAAAGGCATCCTTGGTGCTCAGACTCTTGTACTACATCTTCCCTCAGGTGGACTGGCACTTAGTCTTTGTGGACGACTACTGCTGGGTCCTCAGATGCAGCAGGGCGGACTGGGACGCCACAGCCATCCTGGCCACTCTTCTGGCGCTGGGAGTCCCGCTTTCTTGGAAGAAGACGGCGCTCTCCCCGGTCAATACCTGGTTGGGATTCGTGGTGGACCCAATCACGCCCTGTGTGCTGCTGGCTCCAGTCAAGCACGTCATAATCCTGGCCACTCTCAAACGGCTGGCCCAGGGGGACATCTTTACCAGCAAGGAGGTGGAACAAGCCCTGGGCCGGATTCAATGGGCTACTTCGGCGTGTCCATTGACGAAACCTTTCCTCCAGCCCTTTTGGAGCTGGAAGAAGGCCTGCACCACTTCGGGCAGGCCACCGAAGCTGGTTCGTGCTCTGGCCATCCTTCTGGGGAAGCTCTTCAACCAGAGGTTCCCACTGGCATCTCCATTTGCTCCCACACTTCCATGGACGGGGGCATCTGATGCGGGAGCTGGCAAACAGGCGGACCATGCATGGGTTGGTGGTTGGTGCTCGGACGTGCCCAACCCCGACAAGTCCCGAGTGAAGTGGTTCCAACACAGAATCACACCGGAGGGCGAGCCGTGGGCCTTCACTACTGGGGACCCGCAGCGGGCGATAGCGGCCTTGGAGCTCTTCGGCCTCCTCCTTTTGGTGAGGGCTGTTCTGCTTTGTGCAGCCGGCTCGGCTTCTCACACTAGGATTCTGGTTGCTAGTGATAACCAGGGAAACGTTTTCTCCCTGCTTAACGATTCCACTCGCAGGATGCCCAATGCGGCCATCCTCATGGAAATTGTGTTAACACTGCATGACCACCAGGTCATGTTAGGACCGTCGCATGTGAAGCGCGACTTTAACACATGGGCGGATGAACTTACTCATCCGGACCCGCAATTTCCGACTGAGAACCGGGTCTTCCCCTCAGTCGAAAGCGAATTGATCAAGCTGATCTTCGCTACTTTCCTTCCTCACCCATGATGCCGGGAGGGCATCCGGTGAGGTGGGAGGATTCCTCCCTCGCTGTGGGAGTGGCATCAATTCTACTCCCATCAGCTGCTGAGGGGAGCTGCCCAGTGGAGCTGGGCAATCCTCCCATTTTGGCACTAATCCTTATGCGGCGTAAAGGATGCACCGTTTCGCGATTAAGGTACCAGTAGCACCAATGTGGTGCTTTGAAGAGTCTCAGGGTTGTCCTGCGACCCGGTTCGACAAATGCCAGCTTGCGCCCAAGTCCAGGTTCACGATGTCTTTGTGAAGGCGTGCCAAACTTTGTCTGAGGCGGCAACGCTGTTTAGGTTCCCAGGAATGGGGCTCCGTTCCTTATTGGTGAGCCGTGAGTTGCCCAGATTGGTCAGTTTTTTAGGGCCCCGGTGTTTTTTGTCGTTGGGTTCTCGGGGCGAGCAAAGTCGGAACTGCCGACTTGACATGCAGCTCCAAATCAGCCGGGGTCACGAACCTCAAGACAGCCATATGGGTATGAAATTAATTGGGAACTCCTTGGTGGACACCATCTACATAGGGATACATACCCACCAAGCATTGTGGAGGGTATTGCTCATTGAAGTTCAGCGCCAGAGCTTTGCTCAGCCCATGTTCTGTGGCCATAGGAATTTCATTGCCTAGTTTCGGTTGACAAGTTGGGCCCCACAGGTTTTCCTTGGGTGAACAACCATGTGCCAAATCTTACTCTGGTTTACATAGTTATGACCACGGGAGGTTCCTTTGTGATAGACTTGGCAACTGCAAACCCTGTACCATTTTTTTTGAAAGTGAATGGAACAAGATTGATGTTTAGGCGACATTGTTTTAGGCATGTTTTAACACCCAGCCTGCATTTCTTTGTCAGAGGGTCTGTTTCTGACCAATTCGCCTGGAACCTGGCTGGAGGTTTCCTCTGGATGGTTCCATCTTAGTGGGAGGGTCGGCCCGGGACGGCCGATTTTGTCCTGCTCGGCTTCAGTTCTTTCGAATCAGGTTGGAAAGTTACTGTGGGCATGTTTTTCTGGACAGGTTTCGACACAGACTTTGTAGACTTTTCGTTTTTTGGCGAACCCGCATGGCTATGCACCGAATTCTGTCCACTGTTTTTTTTTGAACCATTCAGATTCCCACCCTGGATGGCCAAGTTGCTGCTTGTTCACAGACACTTTGCCATAAAACAACCACAGTTGCCGGGAAAGAGAAGCACGCCACTGGTGATCCAGGCACTCCGTTTTCAGATTTTCACGGGTGCTGGTCCGAGGATCTGAACGCCAAGTTCGGAGGGAACATGGCCGGGGCCCGAGGGATTCTGGTTGTCCTGGGTTTCCTTTTTGAACCCCACAAAAACAAAGAAACGAGCAAAGACAGGTTTAGAGGTCCAATAGGTGGTGTACATGGTTGAACAGCGGGTTGACACAGACCGGAAGATGTAGTAGCACATGGGATTTTGGGTTGAAGGTTTCTGTGGGTATCACAGCAGGTTTGCTTTCCGCAACACGACCAAAAATCCCTGACCTCTAAACCACCAATCCAAATCACCAATTAGGAGTAATTCGAATGCCTTTTGTTGTGCGATGTGGTTGTGCGTTGTGAACGAAACGTGTTGAACCGGCATGAAGACAAAACCATTCTTCTGTTGGGGTGCCTCGGTTGAGCACATCACGCGAATTCTCAGCCAAGTCTGGACAATTCCGACCCAATCGGAGGCAATGAGCCCATCCCAAACCAGATCACCGGTTTTGGGAAATCCCCTCACCTTCTTTGAGTGGCCTGCGGAAAATCCCCTTTGAAGTGATGACGTCGTCAAAAAGAATCTTGTTTTGCGATCAATAAGCTTGGTTTTTGGTCCGATTTTGACTTCTTCTTTTTTTTCTGGAATAAGCAACACGGGAGACTGGCGTTGAGAAAATAGACAGTTATTGAACAGCTGTGTGCTGATGTCTTTGTTTCACCAGTTCTTGGCGCCCTTCGAAATGGCGCGGTTGCCTTGGATCCTTCACAAAAACCATCAGCGACTTTGGCATGCGTTGGCCTCTTGGTTTTTCCATCAACCAAAAAAAACACGTACTTTTAAATGAGTAACCACAGTGTAGCAACTGGACCAGTCGCCTAATGGGTAAGGCGTCATTGTTGCCGAGCGGCTGACGCTTGTCAAACCCATGACGATGGTCCGCTTCACTTTTGATGTTGAATCTCAGGTGAGCGTGCGCGACTTCCGGTGCAATGAATCTTCGCAAGAAAAGACAAGAAGCAAATAGTTCCAGTTCCAACACAAAGTGCTGTTCCTTTTTTCCCCCCAAAGACATGCCTCCGAAGGCCACTCACACCGACCGATTCCACGTTTGACCGAAACCCGATGGCAACGAATCATATTACATATAAGAGACAATGCATATTCATATGAATATGAAGACATGGCGCAGGTTTTCTGTTTCTTTTCCGTTTGGTTTAGCCCTGAACAGAGGGCCCGGATCTAAACAAGTTGCTTTCCTGCGTTTCTCAGGGACCGAGTACTTCGCCCGCGGACGTCCTTTTTTCGCGGCGACGCATGCTGTGTGCGAGGCCGAGCAGCAGCTGCCGTCGCAGAGCGTGGGGAAGGACTTCGGCAAGGGCGGCGGCAAAGGCGAGGCGACAAGACCAGAGGAACGGATCGACCAGAGGGGGGTGTCATTTTCATAGAACCCAACCCCCCCCCAAACAAAATTAGAGATACAATTTCTCGTTCTTATTATAGAAACACCCCAACACCCCCCAAACAAAAATAGGGATAAAGGAAGGAGGATAGGTTTTCCTTTTGGTTTCTTTCTTTCAAACCATCCAACAAGGGCGTACCCTCAAGAAAAGACACCCCAAGACATGAAGACATGCCTTCTCACCAGTTCAACGAAAATAAAGGGCCGCGAGGGGAGTCTTGGTACGCCCCATAGAAGGCCAGAGGAAAAGACCTCATGGTGTTAAGAGAAACCGAAAGGAAGCCAATCCAATCATTTTAGGGGTCCGATTCTTGTTAACAAGTAACCAGAGAATCCCAAGATTATCCTTTCCCTGAAAGCAGATCCTTTAAACACAACCGGTTTTTTGAGGTCCGTGTGAATGTGTAGGGCATGTGTCTTGGTGTTTTGATGTTGGCTGAGCTTGTTGGTTGAGCTTGTTGGCTGTGAAAGCTTTTCTAATTATGGGGTTCGCACGTGTGGAACGTCTCCAGGAGTCGGGCTCCGGAAGAGTTCCGGGATTGCTGTAGGGATGCTACCTGGGCATATGTTGAGTGTGTGAAATTCAGTCATGTGCGCAGACGGTGTGCGATTCATCTGGCGAGCAGGCGTGTTGACTTGAATCGGATCGCCTGTCAGCACTATTATATTGGGTATGTGCCTCTGTTCACGCATGATGCTATGTGTGCTGTGGAGACACGCAGACAAGTTTCCCATATTCGCTTGACAAACAAGATATGAACTCATCTCTTTTTGGCAAACATGTCTCATGGCAAATCCTTGAGTTTTTCGTCGCATAGGCCCGTCTACGTTTTGCGTTTTGGAAACTATAGGGTAAAGAGTACAAATTCTGTGAGAGATCCGAGTTACGCTTGGTCCAGCTTGTTTTTGCAGGCACCCCTCGGTGGCTTCTTGTCATTTCCCTTTTGAGACCTTGGAAAATGCCGAGCCCAGTGACCTGGCCAGGAACTTTAGGGAAATGGCCTCAAAAGTGCTTGGTGGACATGAACCCCCCACCAAAATTTGATGTCCACCAAAGCGTCCCCGAAAAAAAAAAAAGGAAGAAACAAAAACACACACACACACACACCCACGGTTTGAATGACAGAGATTATTCGGTGAAAGTACCTTGGACCTGGAGCAGAAGTGTAGGTTGCCGGTTGATCTGTGGAGGGAAAGGAATTCTGCGGCCCTCGGACAGTTGTCACTCCATTCTGCAAAAGCGCCTCCATGCAGGTATGTTGAACTTTTAGTTCTTGTAGCGGGTAAATGGGAACCCCCCATTTCATCGCCAAACTCCGAACGACTCCAAAAACTTCCAATTGGCCAACTGCACTTGGCGCGCAGCTTTCCTGTATATTCTTTCAGCAGCCCCCTTCCATACATCCCAATCCCTGGAGCCCATTGCCCTTCTCCCACTCCTTGGAGCCGATGCAGGCGGCAAGGGCTTCCGCGACATCGACGGGGGGCGCGAGGCCGACGACTGGCGCAGCTCTGGGCCCCGCAAGGGCAAGGGCCCGGGGGCCCGGCACAAAGCCCCAAGCTTCCCCCCAAGCTTCCCCCCAAGCTTCCCCCCCGAGAAAGAGAGAGAGTCTTGGCTGCCCCCCAGCAAAACAAGACTTGCGCCCTTGCCCCAGAAAAAAAGAAGAGAGACCAAAAGGAGGTTGGTCCAACAGGTGTTTTTTCACCATGGACTTCCCCTCAAGCTTGATTCTTATAAAGACAAAACTGCTGGGTGAATGCCTAAAGTAACAACTCGCCCCCAGTGTGCCCCCGCCCACCCATTTGGCCGGTCAGTGGGGATTGGGATGTCTGGGTACGATTTGGGCTTCCCATGGCCGCGGACCCGAAACCTTCCGCGCTTTCACGCGCCCACTGGGCTGCAAGTAGCGGTCCAGGCCCTGAGCCACACCGGAGTCAGACGGCAGCCTTGTGGTTTTCCCGTAAAAGGGGCGGTTTTCTTTCCCAGACGATTTGTGTCAGAATCAGTGTTTGGTTCTTTCTCCTATTTTCTAAAACAACTAATTTCAGTTTTGTTTTGTTCTCCTTCTATTTTTAGAACACATATTTTGATCGGCGTTTTTATCTTGAGGTTGTTCGGGCTCATATTTTTTAGATGTATTTGTGGGTGGCCAAGGAGTTGATCGCGTAGACCTTAGCCCGAGGCAGAGAGTGACTGTGGCTTTAAGTTTCAGGGTGAAATGTTTTGTTTGGTCCGAAGGGGGGGGGGCAATCCGCAAATTTAGCTGTGCTCGCGGTATAGAGATGGCAAATTTTGGGTACTCCAAATCAATCTGGTTTGGACTTGGGCCCCTGCTTCAAGCCTCGTTGGCTATTGCATATCTATGACAAGTAATATGTGGGTTACCTGCCCACCAGCAAACATGGAAGTGCACATTGGAAGATGATCCTCCTTTTGGCAAGAGAGCTTTTGGTGGAGGGGTGCCAAACATTTGCCAGACCTCCTCCTTGTGCAGTTCGGCCTCTCCCCCTTTGGCAGTAAGCCCGTATAAGGCTATGCAAGGCTATTTGTATTTTGGTTATGCTGTATGTATGTATTCACATATACATATATACATATACATGTACATATACACATATGTATATATATGTATATATACACACATATGTATACAAATACACATATCTATTTGTATATATATACATATATATATATATGAACCTAGATACATGTACGTAATTGGTAGCCCTTCCGCATACCCCGAGGCAAGGGCGACGAGCCCAGCCGCGCTGACAACGGGGACTGGCGCGGCGGCGGCGGCGGCGGCGGCGGCGGCGACCGGGGCGGCGACCGGGGCGGCTTCCGCCGGGACCGGGACGACAACACGCAGGCGGCCCCCTGCGCCGGTGGCTCCGCTTTTGTTTTTGTTTTTCTTCTTCCTTTTTTTGATTCCTCTTCTTTTCTTCTTTTCTTTTTTTGTTTCCTCTTCTGTTCTTCTTTTCGTTCTTTCTTTCTTTCCTTTTTCCGCCGCCGAAGCCGAAGAAGCAAGTCAAGCGCCGTGCGGTGGATGTTTTTGGGGTCATGATGTTGACTGGTTGGATGAGCAACGTCAGAACATGGATTTGGTTGCTTCAACCTTTCAGCCACGACTGAACGGGGGTTGTGAGCCCAGAAATTCTTGCGGCACGCGGCCACAAGAATTTGCGAGCCTCATGACCAAGCCAGGACATTGGTATCGGGACCTTTTGTCTTCCTTGGACCAGCTTGCCTCTGAGAGGCTTTCAAAAGCATGCCACCCGGGTTTTGTTGGGGGTCTCACCAAAGAGAAGCTTTTTGGCAGCCCAACACACTAAATTTCCACCAACTTCCTACATCCAGGCGCAATGTCAGGTTCACTTTTAAGGGGGTCTCCACAATAATGACACTTTTCTGGCACCATAGGTGTGGGAGCACCACCCAACAGCGTACCAAGATCCTGTAGGCCAACAAGGACGACGACTGGCGGTCCGGCATGGGCGGTGGCCTCCTGGCGATTTTTTTCGAAAGAGGAAAGGGGCCCGCCCCCCCGAATGGCTCAAATGCTTTTATGGCGTCTTGAAACGGACCGAGCATTTGGTCTCGGTTTCATGCTCTTTCGGTCTTATGGCATCTTGACATGAAGCCGAACCTTCGCTCTATCTGGGTTTTGGTTTCACTTTCTCTTGGAAAAGAAGCTTCCAGAGCGGGGTAGGTCATATGGGTGTTCACATGGCGTGGGGCATCCGAACCGCGAGACTGCTTCGGCAATCTTGAGAATGGTTTGACACCAACTTGTTTACACAAATCGGGGGGTCTCTTCAGTCGTTCACCCATTCTCCCAGTTTGCCCATAGCAGCATAGATCGGTGATGGAAATGGAAGCTATGGCAAGAGCCCTGCGCTTCTCCGAGGTCGCCGCGAGGACGGCGACCGCGGCTTCGGCCGCGGCGACCGCGGCGGCTTTGGCGACCGCGGCGGCGACCGCGGCGGCGACCGCGGCGGCGACCGCGGCGGCGACCGAGGCCGGCCTGGGAATGCGGACGGAGGGCGAGTCTCGCCAAGGTGGAAGTTCCCCCCAAAATTTGCTCACCAAAAATGGGTCTAGGGGAAATCACCACACGCGAAACAGTTTTTGGAGGAGGGTGAGCAATCCAAGAATGGAGGGGAAATCACCGATTCATGCAAAGAAGGGGGGGACTGCGGGGGACGGGTTGATTCGCAGGGACTGTGGTGGCACCTTCAACTATTTTCAATCATTGGTCTTTTTGGCAAAATAGCTGTCTTTTCCTGTTGCTTGTGCTTTTGTTTTGTGGAAAAACAATCCCTCAATTCAAAAACAGTTGGAAGCCACCATGGAGTAGAAAGAGCTGGGCCCCTTTGGTCCCCGAAGACCAAACCAAAGATAGATTCTGGAAAGACCAGCGGCTGATCAATAGGCTTGAACAGATAGGGGCCCAGCCCTGAGTCTCAGGGCTGCAAGCTCGAGAGAAGTTGCCCGGAAAGTTCCCGCTAGATGTTGGTTCATATCCAGTTTTTGGGTTCTGCCCGGCTGGGCCCCCACCCCATCTTCAGGCGGCAGCCGCGCGGATGAAGGCGCTTTGTGCAGCCTGGGCTTGCCGACCGGGCGATTCGCGAGTGATCTTCTCTGCTCCAAACCAATTCAAGCCCAAGCGTGGTTGTGGGAAATCGGGCTTAAGCGCCAGAATTGACAGTCAAATGATGTTGTATTTTTGAGATGTTAGTTTTCATTTGCGTAATTCCCCTCTGAGAACACAGTCATGGGATTGCCAATCTCGGCAACATAGAAAGGTCCACATTCCTCCAACCATGATCCTATCCTTGGTGCCATGGCGGTGTATCTTGGCTTCCCGTCTCGCTTGTTGCCTCCTTGTTCGCCCTTTTACAACAGTTAGTCGGGAACGACAGTGCAGGGAATTTGACCCTTAACGCGGGAAGGCAAGATGAAGCAAAGAAAGCAATTCGGGATGATCCAAGCGAGACCCCTCGGGGACCAGCATCCAACTGCCAGCGCTTCTCATGTGGTTTGACAAGGGGAGTCACTGGCTGGTTCTGATGGAATCACCACGTTTGTTTTGAACGAACCAGAAGGGGATCCCCTCAAAGGAAAACCAGAGATTCCCTCCAGGACCCTACTCAAAATCAGCCAAACAAGTCAAACAAGTGAGGGTATTGTGGAGCGAAGGTGGTTGAGGGGATTGAGGGTGCCTGAAGCTCACCGAGCCTCGCAAAGATACTTTGGCTGCGGCTCAGGGCATGTCATTCGGGGTTTAAGGGGTTTTCAGAAATGACTCGAGGGATAATTCAGCCTGGGATCATTCCCTCAGGGACCATTCTGTTTGAACCAGCAAAGGGATCGGTCACGTGATTGACACGAGTGTGGTTGCCCCATCATTCGGCCATATTTGTTGGAAGAACTTCAAACAGGGCATGGATATCCTTTCAGAATTCATTGATTTTGTAGCTACGTCAGCTGGTCTTTTGGGTGCCACTTTCTTAAAACGCGCATGTTCGGAGTTTTTCAGCAACCTTGGCCCCTGGTTTAATAATTATAAGGGGGGGCACCTTTTTGTGGGGGTTCGTCGCTTTTTGAGCGCCATTCCCGCCCCCCCCCCCCCATGAATTGCACGGGTTCTACTTGGATCCGGGGTTAACATCAAGCGGGAAAAGGCAGTGGCGACGGGCTAGCGTCACCCCTTTTACCTGCGTTCCAAACGGTATGAAGTCCTGGGTCAAAGAGCAGTTCGGTGCGAGGCAACCATCCGCCCTGACGAGAAAAGACTATGAGCCACTTTACGTGCGTGCTTCCAAAATAGGGCAACCCCAAAACCGTTTTTTCCTTCAGTCAAAGCTATCAGTACGCCTACAGGTACTCCCCTGGCCGAAGAAAAAGCAAAACGACGCTGAGATCCGAACTTACTAAAACCCCAATTGCCTCCAAGCCTTTCCTGGTTACTCTCTTGGAAGTTAGGAGAGTTTGGGAAGACTATCCTTGTCCACCCCAATTGGAACACGTCTCTTCTTGAAAGGAACAAGGGAAGACTCTCTTCTTGAAAGCACTTCACTTGGAACAAGTTTCGGGGGCCTTTGGTTTCCGCACGTGCTCCGCCAGGCAACTGGCGCGGCGGCGGCGGCAGCGGCGGTGGCGGCGGCGGCGGAGACGGGGAGCGGCCGAGGCTGAATTTGAAGCCGCGCTCAAAACCGGCGCCTGGACGGCAGTCGGCAGTCGTTTGGCTGGCTCTCTGAAATCGGCGTAAAACGACAACCGCCCAAAGGTTTCTTCATGTTGAGACAGAGCCAGACTAGCAACCCTGGGGTGTGTGGTTGTTTGTTTGTTTGTTTGTTTGCTTGCTTGCTTGCTTGCTTGCTTGCTTGCTTGCTTGCTTGCTTGCTTGCTTGCTTGTCTTCTTTGTTTGTTTGCTTGTTTGTTTGTTTGCTTGTCTGTCCATGACTGAATTAGTTCTTGTGGTGTTTTTGCCTTTGGATGTTTCCTGTTTCCCCGTATATGTTTGCCTGCCGCAGTCTGAATTCGCTGAGCGTGTTTTGGTCCTGCTGCTTAACATGTCTGCTCTTCGCAATTGGTGGCAACACCATGTTTGCCTGGGGGCGTGTGGTTTGGGAGATCACTTGTTGCCAGAAACGGTACGACTTCTGAGATATGTCGAGTTCTCGACCAAATCACCACCAAGCAATTTAATGTGTCATCACATGATATATTTACGATTGCCTGCCCAGTGTGCGATTCTATGTGCATGTATGTATGCTATGAGAGGAGGTTCCAATTATCATGACTATTTTCCAACCAACCATCAAATAGTTGAACACTACCAACCATAGCGATGCGGGAGCAAACAGTTTTGCCTTGTTTGTTGCCACCTGCACAGACGCCGGGTTCGGACTCGCATCGAGTCTTTTGGACAATATTTGCTTTCCAAGTGAAGCGCACTTGAGGCATTACCGACCAAGTCAATCTGCACATTCGTTCGCGGCTCGTGGTCCAACCACCGACCGGGTTGCGACCCATAGATATGCGGGGAGCAAACAGTTTAACTTCTTGCAGGGGGGAAGAGACCAACCCAGTGTTCTCCTCGCTTGCAAAGGAATAGGCCTATTGGGCGGGGTCCACAAATGTCGGCGCCGAGGGTTTTTCAAGGGTTTTTCCGTGACACCAGGGAAGGTTCGCATTGTTGTATTGTCTTTGTCTGGATGGGGGGTGGGGAGAAGAAAACGATGGGAGGACACCCCCGAGTCACATCTTTCCGCTCGCTGCTTAGGTCCCTGAAGGCGGCGAAGACGCCGCTGAGCCCAAAACGGTCCGCGTGTAAGACTCGGAAGTTCCGAGGGGATGTTCGGGGAGTCGGCTCGTATGTTTCGTTTCTGGGCCGGGAGCCATAGAACTCCTGGGATGTTTTTTTTGGTTGATTTCAGGTTTGGAGATGGCTCCACGACACATCCCACCAAGAGTTCAGCTTTTTTTTAGCAAGGGAGCCACGAAGCACTGAGTTACTAAAGTTGGGTGAAAGTATATGGTGAGTTCAGTTCCATGCCATCTTGATGTAGGCATCCCATCACTCAAGCAAAGGAATTGCTGCCATGTCGCCCTGCAAGGGTTTCAGTGGCCTGTCCATATTTGTGAAAAAGATATCCGTGTTGATAGAGCCAACCGTGAATAAATGCGGTTGAAGTCCTCGTTTCCCAAGTGCAAAAGGCTTGAGGTCACTTGCCGCTGCTTTTCAGTACGGGCCCCAGAAAGGTCCCCGATTTTACAGCTGGTTTGGATTTTGACCAAAGATCCTGTGAAAACAGGCTGGTATGTCGAATTTCACCAAAGATCCAAAGATCCCAATTAGACCAAAGATCCGTAGAAGTTTGAATGTTGAAACCACCTCCCACGTGTCATGCAGCTCCAGCTGTTGCAGACAAGAGCGTCGCGCGAGAACACACGCGGCGATTTGGTTCGCCAGTGGAGGATTTTGCCCAGCCGTTTGGGTAGACCCTCTTTTGACTGCCTGGGTTTTTAATTGTGAGCGGCAATGTCCGCAATCCGAGAAGACATGGGGCAACTTCTTTGGGTTTTTGTCGCCACCAGAGGGTAAATGCCAGCGCCCTTGTCCTAGCTGGGTGTATGGCTTGAACATGTTGGCGTCAAACCACACTTTACAAGATATGTTCCTGTATCGCCGCGTAGTTTGGGCTGTGCTGGTTTGACACTGAACCCTGCACCCTGCACGCGGTCGGTTTTTCGGCACAGCAGGAGCTGAGGTTTTATTTCGGAGTTTCTTGAAAAGGAGCCCCAACCTTGCTCGGTTCGCCCTCAGGGGAAGCTTCGGGAGGACGGGAGATTGGAGTGGGCCGTGGCGCTGCATCTGTGTGGAACGGGAACCCAAGAGGTCGTGTTGCGTGTTTCCCAATACGAAGCCCTCCAGGTCAGTTTCTTTTTGGTTCCCAGTAGGGTGCCATCAAACAAAGGCACACCCTACCAGTTTGGCAGTTTCCTTGAATCCTTAGGGAATGCCAGAGGGAAGTTGAGCAGGTCAAACAAGCAGAAGTTCCCTGTGGAGCCGCTCAACCCCGGATCCATTCACGTGTCAAACGGTTGGAGACTCCTTGCTAAGAAGGTTCTACACAGCGAATGGGAGATGGTCCTACACAATGCATAGCCAACCTCAGCCCATTGGAGATGGCTACACGCAGCCAAGAATGCGTTTCTTGGTGCTGATGCGACTCAGGCTAGCTACGAGGACGACCAGCTTATGGTGAACTTCTCTAAAGGATGATGTTCGTTTCTACCACGAATACCCTCAACAAAAAAACAGCCCCAAATGTTTGACCTTTTGGACAAATGACTCAAGCTTCCCTCCCAGCAAAACCGTGATTTGCTTTTGGCAGGGGGTTGTTGGACCAAAGCCAGTCTGGATTTGAAACAAGGTAGCCCACCCCGAAGTGGGCTCTGTTTCCTTAGGAACACCAGGGTTGGGGCGACCATTGCTCAAAACAGTCATTTGCCTAACAAGTTTTTTTGGGGGCACATGAATTGATGTTTGAACAACAACGGCCTCATTTTGTTTCTCTTTTGTTTGCCCGTGGCAATGTAGGTAAACTCTGCTCGGAAAACCCAGCGGAAGCTCAGTTCAGATTTTTCACTCTCGAGGTTCTCCGGTTCCAAAGGGTAAGTTCGGTCTTTGTCGCGAGGACGACGACCGCAAGCCAGGCACGAGACGCGGCAAGCAAATGCGAAAGCGTTTTGCCCTCCGACGGTTTTCCTATGAAGTTGGAGCCGCATCCCATGTTTGGCTATATACCGCCTCTGCCAGGCGTGGGGCCATGACGGGAAAACGGCTAAGGATACATGACAGCATTCCTTGAACATGCTCCGCCCTTCTTCACTGGCACAGCTGACTTGGAATTGATTGGTACAGGTATGATGGGCTTGGCGGTTTGGGGGGTTGCTTGAGGATTGGCTCGTGTTTTCGGATGCCTTCTTCGTCTCCAAGTTGCTGGGTCTCACCTCAGAGTTTGCAGCCGGTTGAAGCCTCGCAGGCGGCGGCGCGGGCGGCGGCGGCGGCGGCGGCGGCGGAGGAACAAGGTACATCCCTCCAGCCCAGCGGAGAGCAGCCGAGGAGGAGGCGCGGATGGATCCGCCTGAGACGCGGTCTCCGGGTTTCGGAACGTCGCCATGGGAGTTGTTCCGCCCGCCCGAGACTGCAAGGTTGTTGTGCGAAGGGAAACCGTAAGAATTGTCAAAGACCTCTGTGGGAGAGCGATTCCTATGTTGAGAACACCCTTTACACTTGGCCGCTTATTTGTACAATCAAGAGAAGAACCCAAGTGGAACCCAATTCCTTTGGGGGTTCCCCACCCATCTTGTGGAAACGAAATGGAAGCCACCCATGTTTTCACGGGAGTCCTATGATTTTGCTGCATCTCCGGAGCGCAGGCCCGGAGGAGAGAGGAGGACGACGCCCGGCGTCGCCAGGATGAGGCGTCGTCGGAATCGGGTGCGGAGAAGGGTCAGATAGCCACGTGACGTTTTGGCAAGTTTGGCTGTGGCCATTTTCACGTGGCCATGTTTTTCATTACTTTGACCGTTTCTCAGGATGAGAGTCCAAAATGGGGGCCTTTTTGTTGAACTTGCAAGCCTTGAAAAAGTGATATCGCACTTTCACAATGAACTCAGTTGTGCCGTGACTTATGCGCAAGTGAGAGTCTGTTTTCTGCTCTAACATGGCACGTAGCACATGTCGACCCCTGTTCTCTTGGGGGCGTTATCAATCAGGGGTCTACAGAGCTGTCATCTGGTTATGTACGGATTGGCTATAGCCCACGTGCATTTGGCGCACCTTCCAGCTCTATGGCTCGCTGATCATGGTCGGGTTTCACCAGTTTGCGCTAACTGGCTTAGCAAGTCGCCGCTTGAGGTCCAAAGGATCTTGGGGCTGAAGGCAATCCTCATAAGGGCCCAAGCGGCCCAAGTTGCGAAAGGATGTGGTCCCCTTGGTGCCAAAGGGCATTTTGAGCGAAGGGAACTTGGGCCAGTCGGAGAGCCATTTCTTTGGGGGCGGTTTTTTTTTTTGCGCCAGGAGAGGCGAAGCCGGGGCCTCAACACCCGGATGCCTGATGGTTGACCGAAATCCAGTCTCGCAGCACCTAAGACACCATGGCTTGCGATCGGTGCGAGAGATGCGGGTAATGAGAAATGGAGTCTGACCCCGAAAAATCATCGAACTGGTGGTTTCCTTGAAGGGGACCCCCAGGTTCATTCCCTCATTCCCTACTGAGCACCAGCAAGCCATGGTTTATGATTCGATTCCCCAAGATAAATACCAAGAAACGTAGTGGTTTCAAACACTGGTTTCATTTTGTGGTGCGAAATGGACAGTAGCATTATTCGCATTCCCTCAAGACGCAAATCTAACAGAACCTATCTAACTAGGAGCACAAGAAACACGATAAACCAGTCGTGCATGCCTCCGTCTGGGCATCCGTGCACCCATCGATCCCATCCCGTCCCGTCCCGTCCCGTCCCGTCCCATCCCATTCCATTCATCCATCCTGAGGACGTGCATGCGCACGGACCGGCAGGTTTGCTGCTTGGTGCGGGATTCGGTTCTGCATCAACTGCATTGTTCGGACACAGAAATGCCCAAATTGCACCGCATCACCGTCATCATCCAGCCTCCTTTGGCAGGTTGGCCAGGGTGCGCTTCTGCACAGCACAGGTTGCGCATGCGGAGAGCACGGAGAGGGTGCCACGTAAGGTACTTACCTACACACATACAGAACAGAACACCAAAGCACAGAACAGCACAGTATATCGCAGCACAGTACTGCCGTACAGGCCAGTACCCTATCTCACAGCAGCAACGCGCGAATGTTTGACCAAAGCAGTTGAGGATAAAAGGAATAAGTACTGCCGAGCATCACCTTCGCAGAACACAAGACGGTCGGTCTGCCGTATCTGCCTGTAGGTGCCTGACAAGTGGCGCGATGTATGCTCCACGTTTTTATAGACCCCCGCAGAAGATCGGAAAGGAACGCGCTCATCCTCGTGCGCAGCTTATATCGAGTTCACAGATCGGGGGTGAGACGAACTCACTGGTGAAGTTCTTTTTTTCTTTTCCAGGGGGTTCCTTCAATCAGATGAGTGAATGACTCGGAATGGGGGCGGGTCCCACTTAAAAAGGGATCGGCCACCTGTTCATGCACCAAGTCGATTCATCTGGGATTGACAGGGGTCACTGGTTTGGAGGATCCAAAAAGGGACGACGCCCTGATTGATTTGTTTTTTCCATTGGTGAATCACTTGCCACTGTGGCTGTGTTTGTCACGGGTGGAACGACATAAGCAGCGTAGCTTCGCTTGGACGGCAACGCCTGGGGCCATCCTCCAGGCGCTCGGCTTTTTGCTAACCAGACTCTGGTCGCCTGGGGGACACCTCAAGGGGGTTGTTGAAGCAATCGCAGAGTTTCGCGCTGCATATCTCAACATGGCAGCATTCCGTTTGTCTTTGCGGTTACTTGGTTAGAGACCTTTTGGCTGGATTGTTCAACAAGTTTGGGCTTTAAACCAAGCTGCATGGCCCACCTCTTCTCCGACGCTCAAAGCTCCACCCCTTGCGATTCGAGCGATTCGATCTGAGGCAAGCAGCGGCAGGAGGATGAGAGGCGGCAGAGGGAGGAGGATGCCAAAATGGAGAAGAAGCGAGCGGAGGAAGCCAAGAAGGCCCGCAGCTCCTTCGTGCGCTTTCTTTCCATCAAATCTCTCTCCCTCCCTCTCAAACATCCCCCGAATTGGTGATGTGGAGTCTGGTGGTTTGGTGGTTTCCCATGTACCCTCTACAAGAACCACCAGTCCAAACCACCAATTCGGGGCAACCTGATCTGTCTCTCTGTCTCTCTGTCTCTCTGTCTCTCTGTCTCTCTGCCTCGCTGTCTCTCTGTCTCTCTGTCTCTCTGTCTCTCTGTCTCTCTGTCTCTCTGTGTATCTGTCTCTCTGTGTATCTGTCTCTCTGTGTCTCTGTCTCTCTGTCTCTCTGTCTCTCTGTGTCTCTGCCTCGCTGTCTCTCTGTCTCTTTGTGTCTCTGTCTCTCTGTCTCTCTGTCTCTCTGTCTCTCTGTCTCTCTGTCTCTCTGTCTCTCTGTGTCTGTGTGTCTCTGTGTCTCTGTCTCTCTGTCTCTCTGTCTTTCTGTCTCTCTGTCTCTCTGTCAATCTGTCTTTCTGTCTCTCTGTCTCTCTGTCTCTCTGTCTCTCTGTCTCTCTGTCTCTCTGTGTCTCTGTCTCTCTGTCTCTCTGTCTCTCTGTCTCTCTGTCTCTCTGTCTCTCTGTCACTCTGTCTCTCTGTCTCTCTGTCTCTCTGTCTCTCTGTCTCTCTGTCTCTCTGTCTCTCTGTCTCTCTGTCTCTCTGTCTCTCTGTCTCTCTGTCTCTCTGTCTCTCTGTCTCTCTGTCTCTCTGTCTCGCTGTCTCTCTGTCTCTCTGTCTCTCTGTCTCTCTGTCTCTCTGTCTCTCTGTCTCTCTGTCTCTCTGTGTCTCTGTCTCTCTGTCTCTCTGTGTCTCTGTGTCTCTGTGTCTCTGTGTCTCTGTGTCTCTGTGTCTCTGTGTCTCTGTGTCTCTGTGTCTCTGTCTCTCTGTCTCTCTGTCTCTCTGTCTCTCTGTCTCTCTGTCTCTCTGTCTCTCTGTCTCTCTGTGTCTCTGTCTCTCTGTCTCTCTGTCTCTCTGTCTCTCTGTGTCTCTGTCTCTCTGTCTCTCTGTCTCTCTGTCTCTCTGTCTCTCTGTCTCTCTGTGTCTCTGTCTCTCTGTCTCTCTGTCTCTCTGTCTCTCTGTCTCTCTGTCTCTCTGTCTCTCTGTCTCTCTGTCTCTCTGTCTCTCTGTCTCTCTGTCTCTCTGTCTCTCTGTCTCTCTGTCTCTCTGTCTCTCTGTCTCTCTGTCTCTCTATCTCTCTGTCTCTCTGTCTCTCTGTCTCTCTGTCTCTCTGTCTCTCTGTCTCTCTGTCTCTCTGTCTCTCTGTCTCTCTCTGTCTCTCTGTCTCTCTGTCTCTCTGTCTCTCTGTCTCTCTGTCTCTCTGTCTCTCTGTCTCTCTGTCTCTCTGTCTCTCTGTGTCCTCTGTGCTCTCTGTCTTTCTTTCTGTTTCTGTGTCTCTGTGTCTCTGTCCCTCTGTCTCTCTGTCTCTGTGGCTCTCTGTCTTTGTCTTTCTGTGTCTCTGTCTCTCTGTCTCTCTGTCTCTCTGTCTCTCTCTGTCTCCTTGTCTCTCTGTCTCTGTGTCTCTCTGTGTCTCTCTGTGTCTCTGTGTCTCTGTCTCTCTGTCTCTCTGTCTCTCTGTGTCTCTGTGTCTCTGTCTCTCTGTCTCTCTGTCTTTTTGTCTTTCTGTGTCTCTGTGTCTCTGTCTCTCTGTCTCTCTGTCTCTCTGTCTCTGTGGCTCTGTGTGTCTCTGTGTCTCTGTCTCTCTGTGTCTCTGTCTCTCTGTCTCTCTGTCTCTCTGTGTTCTCTGTCTCTCTGTCTCTCTGTCTCTCTGTGTATCTGTCTCTCTGTGTCTCTGTCTCTCTGTCTCTCTGTCTCTCTGTGTCTCTGTCTCTCTGTGTCTCTGCCTCGCTGTCTCTCTGTCTCTCTGTCTCTCTGTCTCTCTGTCTCTCTGTCTCTCTGTCTCTCTGTCTCTCTGTGTCTCTGTCTCTCTGTCTCTCTGTCTCTCTGTCTCTCTGTGTCTCTGCCTCACTGTGTCTCTGTCTCTCTGTCTCTCTGTGTCTGTGCCTCGCTGTCTCTCTGTCTCTCTGTCTCTCTGTGTCTCTGTCTCTCTGTGTCTCTGTCTCTCTGTCTCTCTGTGTATCTGTCTCTCTGTGTCTCTGTCTCTCTGTCTCTCTGTCTCTCTGTGTCTCTGCCTCGCTGTCTCTCTGTCTCTTTGTGTCTCTGTCTCTCTGTCTCTCTGCCTCGCTGTCTTTCTGCCTCTCTGTTTCTCTGTCTCTCTGTGTCTCTGTGTCTCTGTCTCTCTGTCTTTCTGCCTCGCTGTCTTTCTGTCTCTCTGTCTCTCTGTCTCTCTGTGTCTCTGTGTCTCTGTGTCTCTGTCTCTCTGTCTCTCTGCCTCGCTGCCTTGCTGTCGTCTCTGTGTCTCTGTCTCTCTGTCTCTCTGTCTCTCTGTTTCTCTGTCTCTGTGTCTCTGCCTCGCTGTCTCTCTGTCTCTCTGTCTCTCTGTCTCTCTGTCTCTCTGTTTCTCTGTCTCTCTGTCTCTCTGTGTCTCTGTGTCTCTGTGTCTCTGCCTCGCTGTCTCTCTGTCTCTCTGTCTCTCTGTGTCTCTGTCTCTCTGTCTCTCTGTCTCTCTGTGTATCTGTCTCTCTGTGTCTCTGTCTCTCTGTCTCTCTGTCTCTCTGTGTCTCTGCCTCGCTGTCTCTCTGTCTCTTTGTGTCTCTGTCTCTCTGTCTCTCTGCCTCGCTGCCTTGCTGTCTCTGTGTCTCTCTGTCTCTCTGTCTCTCTGCCTCGCTGCCTTGCTGTCTCTGTCTCTCTGTGTCTCTCTGTGTCTCTGTCTCTCTGTCTCTCTGTGTATCTGTCTCTCTGTGTCTCTGTCTCTCTGTCTCTCTGTCTCTCTGTCTCTCTGTCTCTCTGTCTCTCTGTCTCTCTGTGTCTCTGCCTCTCTGTCTCTCTGTCTCTCTGTCTCTGTGTCTCTCTGTGTCTCTGCCTCGCTGTCTCTCTGTCTCTCTGTGTCTCTGTCTCTCTGTCTCTCTGCCTCGCTGTCTTTCTGTCTCTCTGTCTTTCTGTGTCTCTGTGTCTCTCTGTCTCTCTGTCTCTCTGCCTCGCTGCCTTGCTGTCTCTGTGGCTCTGTGTCTCTGTGTCTCTGTGTCTCTCTGTCTCTCTGTCTCTCTGTCTCTCTGTCTCTCTGTCTCTCTGTCTCTCTGTGTCTGTGTCTCCCTGTCTCTCTGTGTCTCTGTCTCTGTCTCTGTCTTTCTGTCTCTCTGTCTCTCTGTCTCTCTGTCTCTCTGTCTCTCTGTCTCTCTGTCTCTCTGTCTCTCTGTCTCTCTGTCTCTCTGTCTCTCTGTGTCTCTGCCTCGCTGTCTCTCTGTCTCTCTGTCTCTCTGTCTCTCTGTCTCTCTGTCTCTCTGTCTCTCTGTGTATCTGTTTCTCTGTTTCTCTGTTTCTCTGTCTCTCTGTCTCTCTGTCTCTCTGTCTCTCTGTCTCTCTGTCTCTCTGTCTCTCTGTGTCTCTGCCTCGCTGTGTCTCTGTCTCTCTGTCTCTCTGTCTGTCTGTCTCTCTGTCTCTCTGTCTCTCTGTGTCTCTGTCTCTCTGTGTCTCTGTCTCTCTGTCTCTCTGTCTTTCTCTTTTTGTTTTGGTGGTTCATAGGTTCTGGCCACAAGACAAAGGGAAGCATTTCTCCCACCACCCCCAGAAGAAGAGGAGGAGGAGGAGGAGGAGGAGGAGGAGGAGGAAGAGGAAGAAGAAGCAGACACCCCTCCCCCCAAAAAGACACGATTGACAGTTCATAAGGCCAGGGAAGCATTGTCACCCCGCCCCCAAGAAAAAGAAGAAGAAGAAGCACATGAAACAAGACATTCCTAATATACACAATATACATATATACATATACATGTATTGCATATGTATATATATATATATATGTATATATATATATATGTGTATATATATATATATGTGTATATATATGTATATATATATATATGTAACCAATGTGGGTTTTTGCTTGTTGTTTCCCTCGTTGATGCCGAGGCTGAGGCTGAGAAGCAGAGACGCCTTGCGGTGAAAGCCGAGAAGGAGGCCCATGAGAGCCAATCGGAAAACCCGCAAAAACCCTCGAAGACCATAGGTAGACAGTTTTGCTTTGTGGTCTGAAAGGGAATCCCGTGGGAAAGCCAAAATCCATTTAGGAGGTCGCTTGAAAAAGACGCCTGTCCCAAATATAATCATGTTACTTGCACGAAGGGGAGCCCTGTGGCTCCATGTTTGTTTTCGGGAGGGTAACGGTTCCTGGACTGGGGTGGGGATTCAAAGGTCTCGCCATGGGTGACATATTGTTCTTGGATCTGGCAAACCTTTAAATTGTTTATAGAATCAACGCATGCCCCCACCCTAGGTTTTGGTACTTGGTAGGTTTTGGTGTATTGTCTCTAAGCCACTTGGTAAATACTTTCGAGAATTCAAAGAACGCTTATATCATGGTAGATGAAAAGTCAGGGTGTCCTATTTACGGCAGGGTAGGTACTTTGAAACCAAGTTAGGTTCGGTCAAACTTACTGGTAGCTTATGTTTGTGGGGGTGTCCATGTCCCATCCACGGCTATGTCTATTTTTGGCTTAGGTTGCCACTTTCGATGACCGAACAGGCATCCCTTACGGGCAGCGTCATACTGTGGATGGACAAAATCCAGACCTGGCATGGATAAAGCCGTGTGAGAATTGGGATAAACCGATCGAAGTGGATTTTGTCCATCGGGCTGGTCGAACCAACCACTTTGGTTTCCGGAGAGCTTCCGGCTCGAATCTGCGTTTCCGGAGATCAAAAAAAAATACGACCCCCGCGCGGTGGGTTTTATTGGTCGGGGTTCCCCTTTGTAGGCAGCCACACACAAATCCTTTCAGTGGGGAAATGAGGCTGAGTCATGTTCCAGTCCTCACCGTTTGGTGAAGTTGCGTTTCAACTTGCAGCGGTTTTTCGTTTTGTGGAACCTGGAGATTTGCAGGTGCCACGTACGCCATGGTTGTTTTTCTCCGATCAACCAGGAACAAAATTACCGGATCCAAGTTGAGGTTCTAAGCATGATAGTCTGTTTTGGTTCGTTCATTGGGCCTTAGAAAGGGTTGTATGGGGGGCTCTATGCAATGAGAAGCCTAGAATAAGCCCTTGAGGCCTTGTTAAAGGGTTGAGAAGGTTGTGGACCGCCCCGGGCCCCGGTGGACCGCCTCCCTGATATTTTGAGCCGCAGCATTGGGCCCTTCTCCGCTCTCAGGCAGAGGCTCGCGAGAAGCGGGAGGCTCTGAAGAGCGCCTTGGCAGGGAAGATCCCAGCTCAGTGCTTGCGGCGTGCCCATTTTCGGGATGGCTGTTCGAAACCAGACCTTCCATACGTTCAACACTTTCCTCAAGAGGGCTACAAGTTCAGTTTCCGCGGGTCAGCTAGGCTGGTAGGCATCCCACGCTCTTGGGTCGGAGCTTTATGTTTCAGGGTTCCCTATCCTTCCTTGGAGGGTTAAGTTGAGCGGCTGTCAGAGATTTGCATTTCCATCAACAAACAGCTAGCAAGCATCTGGGTCTGTCATTTTTCAGGGCGTAGGTGTTTTGTTGTTTTGAATGCACACCAGACGGAACACCGTTGCGCCATGGGGAGTTCCCAAAAACCAGCGACACCATCAATGAGTTGTCACAGATCTGAGTTCTTGGGGTTGAAGCTTTTTGGGTTTGGACCACAATGGTCAATGATAAGCAGGGCTCCTTAAAGGATACATGTTGCAACCGCTTGAAACAGGGCTTTTTCCACCAAAATAAAGGGAACCCACCATTTACAAGGCAATGTTCAGGTGTATAATGTAAGGATCCCTGATAAGTTTGGACTTCTTTTGGCCAATCCAGGAAGTGAGAATCACAGGGGAGCTCACCTTGATCACTTTGCATTCCTTTTTAGTATTATTGATCAGTGTTGCTACCGAAACTGCGTCTGAGTAGATCCGCACGCGAGAAGGCGAACTTGCTAAATATGGCATCGCTCTGACGATTTATATGTCTCTGGCCGAGATTGGGTGACCCACTTGAAGTAAACTGATCTCGCGGGGGCAAGCCAGTTCATGTTCTGCGAGTTGGATGTTTCCAGCATACAGTTCGCAGGTCCGTTACTTTTGCTTGTTTCAGACATCACTCCTAGGCCACTTGACAGAGCGTTTCTTTAGGCGTGCTGTTTGGGGACATATTTTGAGGAGCAGCGTTTTTTGCATACCCTGGCCACCTAAGGGGAACCAGAAGGGATGTTACAACAGGCTTTTGCTTCTAGATTCTTCTTCGGAACCTGAAGAAAAGCCCGGCAGAGTGCAACTCCTTGAAACTGGACCCCCCTTCTGGGCTTCCATTGGCCAAGACGTAAGCCATGGGTTTGCCCAGCGCTTGGCCGCGCCCGAGGTGTCAGCCAGGCTCAGAAGAAGTCGTCGCAGGGCTCCAGCAAGAAGCAGGCGCCAGCAACGCGCGGTCGGCGCGCGTTTTTTCTTCTTTTCCCCCCCCCCCCCCTCCCCCTATTTTTGTTTCGGAGTCGGTTTTTTGCGGCCACCAAAAGCCTCATTTCCATTTTGGGGGTGCAACTAAAGAACGACACGCCCATATGAGGTTCGGTCCCACAACTTCGATTCACCAACCCTTGGTTAGCCATCAACTCAAATATTTGAATCTTTTCTGCCGTCATCATTAAAAACAAGGGGGGAAGACATGTCCGGAAAACAATTGGCTTTTAAGCGTTCAGAGGGACTTATGACGCATCTTACTGAAAGTTTAAGCTCTTGGCAAGGGAGCACCACATCACAACCATGCAAACGTTGTGGCTCGTTTTTTTTTTTTTTTTCAATTTCGCGTGGACACTTCCACTTGTGGTTGGTGATGTGAACAAACAGAAGCCTAGCTTGCTTGGGGGAAAAGCCAACAAGGGAATTAGTAACTCTCTTTTCCTTTGGGGGGTTGAACTGTTCCCCAACTGGGTTGCCTGAAGCAGACTTTTCGGGAAGCCAAGCCACATGTTTTCTTTCGAAACCACTCCTTAAATGGACTCATCCCCATGTTGTTTCCAGGACCTGAAATCGAAAAGCCATATGGGTGGTTTTTTTAGACCAAAAAAGGGTTCCCCATTAAAAAGACACACCCACACTGATGGACGAAATCCATTTCGCGCCACTTCGAAACCATGTTTTTCAGCCATAGCGTTCTTGGCCTCTACCTTGGGGGTTTTTCGAATCTCTTGGGGTTTCTGACCGGTTTTCCCCAGACACCCAAGCGATGCGAGCGAAAGCGCCCATCCCGAGCGCGCGCTTCTTTGGCGCCGAGTGCCGCCAGGTCTACGACCCCTCGAAGGTCGAAGGCTTCCTGGAGAGCTGCGAGGAGGTGCTCCAGGACTCCGATTTCGCGGGGGACTTTAGGGGGATTTCGTGGTTTTCGGCTGCAACTGGAGAGGGAGGGAGTCGGGGGGGGGGGCAACTTTTTGGGTTGTTTCTTGTTTAGGGTGTTGGTTTTAGGGTTGGTTTTTCATGTTTCGCTTTTTGTCTTTTTGTGTGTGTGGGGGGGGGGCAAACTCAGGGACTTAAAAGTGGATGAATCCTGTGGAGGGTAGGCTCTTGCTGAAAAGAGACATTTTTTGTTCTGGAGGATCTCTGGCAGGATGGCTGGTGTCGGGCTTGAAGGCAGCCAATTGCTCAAAAAGGCAGGCAAGGCTGCATGCGTCCGACGGCCGGTAGAACCCGAACGAGCTATGCGCAGATACGCCAGGTGGTTGCTTAAGCTTCAAGTCTGAAGGTTTGACCCCAGAAAATGGACTGCAGATGGGTGCCTCCAAATGAAGTGTGGTTGCTGGTTGCATGTTTAGATCTTTGTTTTGTTTTTCGGTTGAGGGGAATCGGCAGTCTGACATATTTTGGTTTTTTCGCTGACCTGCATGCCGCAGACCCTTTGGTTTGGAGGCTTTGGGCGACAAGATCGAACCAGGATCTAAACATGTCACGCAGCTACTGGGTGTGGCTCATTTAGCGGAACCGCGAGAAAGGAGTGTTTTCTTCTTGGTGTCCCTTTAAGACTACCCAAGGGTACGTACGGTGAGAAAAGGCACATCCAAACCTACCTCGTTTCGGATTTGGGAACTTTTAGGGCTTGGCAAGGACATCGCACAGCACGCGCACGCGCATGTGCAAAAATGGGTTGTCGAAATTCGGAATTTCAGGTGGCAATGGTTATTCAGGGGGAAAGCCACACAAAGAAATAGGGAATGAACATGGGTAAATATAATACAGCATATATGTAAACTTTCATATTTTATAAGCTTCTCCTTTCGTTGAAGTAGTTTTCCGCCAGTGACCAGCGCAAAGCTCTTCACTTGCAGGGCTCAGGGCATTCCGCTTGCGACTGACCCCTCAGGAGCAGGGCGACGTGAAGAAGCTTGTGGATCAGGCGCAGCTCCTAGCTGGACCCGTCTTAGGGCTGCGACCCAGTGCGATGTTTCCCCTGCGTTCAAAAAAGAGGGTGTGCGTTTTGTTGTTCCTTGGCCACTGGTTGTCTAGGATTGGTGTTTTGGAGGACCAGTCATTTCGGAGGGAGGATTTGACATGCCCACCATGAAGAGAAACAAACCACCGACCCAAGAGTGACGGAGTCGAGTCATGGTTTAATGGGAAGCAACCGCTTTGGTTTATGGTTAGATGGGAATCAACCGCTTCATGACTGTGGCAAAGCTGGGTGTTTTTTAGGTTGGACAAATCAGCGGTGAGGAAGTAGTCACAAATCAGTTGAATGACCCATATTGGTATTACAGAAGCGCTCTTCTCCTGCAACCATGGCCCACTTCGGTCGCCTTTGGCCTAATTTCCCCGGGAATCAGAACTCTTTTGCTTGTCCGTAGTAAGCCTTCATCCTTTTGAACATGACAAGGGCGTTCCTCATCAGCAAAACCAATGTGTTTGCAGGTCCAAAGACCAATCAAGAACGAGCCCTGAGCTCTTACAGACTTCAATTACCAAGCAGCTTTGACTTGGAAAAGCAATTCAAAGGCCTCGTTTGACCTTGATTTCCCACGACCCTCATTCGCCAATATCACATGCAACACCCAAAAATATGTATTCCTTCCCCGCAGCAGCAATCTAGCACCCACTTGATACACACTTTTGAGAGTTTATCTCCGTTAGCAAAGAGTTCCATGCACCTCTTCCGCGCTCTTTATAGAGCCATCCGATCAGGGGCTCAATCAATTTTGAGATGACCCACAATTTTGCATCTTTTCTCCCCCCAACTCTCTGAACCACTTTTCTCACGCAACCCCCCGCCCCTCCCGGCGTTCCCACCCCAGAACCCAGCCCCAAACCCAACCCCCCCTCTTTCCTTCCTCCGCCCCCATAGCCCAGCCACCCTACCCGCAGGTGGAGGAGCAGCTTACAGAGGACGAGCTGGGCACTGCGCCGCGCTCGGTTTTCCAGGCTCCGGGCGTGATTTTTTTTCAAGCGTGGCGAGGGTTGCCTCTTTTGGGGGACAAAGCGAAGGGAAAACGCCCATTTATGGGAAGCCTGAGGTCGCAAGTCTCAGCATTCCAGAGACACCCGCAAGAGTCAAGGTCTCTATATTGCCCTTGCAGGGTGGATTGAAACAACACCATTTGGAGGGCATGTGTCAAATGTGCGCTTCCTTTTGGTGGGGGATGTTTAGAAGTATGGTGGAACCTTGAAGAAAGCAGGGAGACCAGCCAAAAGCAAGCTTGAATCAAAGAGCTTGTCCATTTGGGTGGATGTTTATACCAGTTTGTTTTAGTCTTCCTTACAAGCACTGAAAAAAGAAACGGCGTTCCTTTGAATACGCGGTTCTGAGAGCCCCGTTTTTGTACTCGCTTAGTACTCTTGGAGTACTCCTTTAGGTGCTCGTCTACTCATCCAAGACTTCTTTTGGCCCATCCACTCAGGCAGTGAGAAGCGTTCGCCGTTTGCTGGTCTGACATCCCAGGTGCAGCCCATTGCCAAGCTGAACGAGCTTCTGTTACGCTACTGCCGCGGCAAGCAGGCAGTCAGACAAAACGTCGGATCACAGTTTTCCTCGGGTGAGACATGCATCCGTGAAGCTTCGGGCAGTACCGGACCAAAAGAGGCAACTGGCCCATGGGAATGGTTTGGGCCACTTGCTAAGGGAAGTTCCTTTGTGGACTCGTCATGGGGATGGCCCATGGTTTCAGGTCTAGCGAAAATGGTGAGGGTCCGATGGTTCCAAGGGGAGTGAGGAGTGAGGGTCCGCGAGTTCTGTTTATGGAAACCAAAGTGGCGCCCTGACGCCAAACTAAAAGGCTCCATATCCGATTTTGAGACATGCCATGACTTTTGAGAGTTGGACCCACCTCAAAAGTGGTTGGTGGACATGAATCCCCACCTGCATGATATCCACCACATGCCATGCAAAAAATCATGCCCATCTGTTCCCGCCTCCCCTCCCCACCCCGGCCATTCTTCTTCGGCTTCCGGCGAAGCAGCGGGGTTCAGGACGAGGAGATCTTCACACTTCTGCAGGACTGGTCCCCGGTGCTGAGCTGCCCCTTGGCCATTGCTGGCGATTATCGCAAACGGGGGGCCGGATGACCATTCGCCCATTGGCCGGCGGATTGCACAGGAGCAAACTTGGCGGGTTTTTGGGGATAGATGGCAAATGAGCAGGACTTGGTGGTCAATTTTGCCACAAAGCAATGGATCGCAAACGAGTAAACGGGGGCAGGTTTCCATGCACCAGCCTCTACGTTGCCAGCCCCGGTTGGTTGTCCAATTTTTCCAGAGGCATGACCTTCCAGCTCTTCTGCCAGAGCAAAGTCTTACCGTTTTGCAAGTTTGGCTTTCCACCATTTTACCAGCCAAGAAAAGTGGC